TGACAGTTGTGAAGAGGATAATGAAGAAGAGGAGGAAGTAATCCCATCACCACCTAAGAAACAAAAACAGTCCCCAAAACCAGTATGTGAAATTATTTTGAAATGAGACTTTTAAAGATTTGTTAGTTTTTACTACCATTTATTTGTTTGCATGAATGTTTTTTTCTCGTCTATGTTTAGGAACCTGAGAATCACCGACTAATTTGTGTCATTCCTTTGTAATAAATAACTGAGCTTAACATGCCTTTCCAGACTTCTCACAGTCAAAGTACCTGGCAACCTTCGTCACCAAAAAAGATGCCTGCGATTCATGCAGACACAGAATCATCTGGGCAGAAAAGACAGGCACCGCATCCTCCAGCTGGATCAACTCACACAGATACAGAGAGAGGTACAAAACGTGTTGAATCATCCAACACAGGTACTAAATCGCAGTCACACAGACCACACCCTCACTCATCAGGTTATAGAAATTACACTCCAGCTGTGGCTAAGCTGGGTATGATCCCCAAACCCATGGCACCACCCAGGAATCAAACAATACAAAAAAATAAAGCACAGGCAATAGCTGAATACATGAAAAGGCAGGGTAAGATATCAAGTTAAAAAAACTTCAGCACAGTAAGATGTCTATTTCTGGCCTTTGATCTGTCTTTGCTGCCTGCCTGTCTCCTTGCTTTACTTACCTCTACAGGTGATTTACTTAGTATACTCCTGTATACATGCATACATACATACATACATGCATACATACATGCATACATACATACATACATGCATACATGCATAGTTTTATGGTACACTCATTTAATGCACATTTACACCATCTTGTAGAACTTCTAATGTCTCGTTATTTGATCGGTAAATCTTCTCACACCATATAGTCATATGCACTCTTGGTTCATTATTCATGATTTATCTTGCACTGTGCACCGAGTTGTTACTATTGGTCGAAACGTGTTATAACTATGATCATTTTGGTACGTGGCATGATAGTATTGATAAGTTGTCTCAGAATTGACTTGTTCATCACCTCCATACAAATCTCAGGTACTGTAAACGCATTAATTGTTCACTGGTTATTAATTTTGATAGTAAAATCTGTTTGTTTGCAATTCAGCGGCACCACCAAGTGGGGGAGATAGGGTTCTCCCTACCAGTGTGTGGAATTTTTGTTAATTCTATGTTAAAATGGAGCATTCTATGGCTTCCTTGGGGCCAAGTTTACTATCGACAGATCACAGTTGAAGACCGTGGCCACATGTGATCCCCTGGTCAATCAGAATTTTATGATTGCCAGAGGATCTGTTCCCCGAGGTAAGGGGGTGGGGGGCGCATGGCCATAACATGAGGGGGCTTTGTACATTGTTCAAAAAAATCCATATGAGCATGTTGAATAACAATTCATTGTTTCTCTACCAAGTTTGTGAACTTTTAAAACCCAGTGAAATTGCCTAAAACATCTAAATAGTGAAATGCCAGTGAAAATAAATGATTTTACAGTATTCAATGCAACACATTTTAAGTAATGAATTGGAATGTGTGCATTAGTCACGGACGACGCTACATGTCAGGTAGCAAGTTGGTTCAAAATTGCAATTCACATAGTCAAAATAATTATTTCTTATTTAGCTGCTCCTCAGCCTGAATTACTGACTACCCGTGTCCCAGTAGAAATGGAGAAAGAAATAATCAGAGCTGTCCCAGAACCTAAGTTACCAAGAGAAGTTCTTCATGGGAAAATTGAAGAGAAAATGAAACCAGTTGATGTTGTTCAAGAGGAGTATAACAGTGATAGTGATTCTGACTCTGAACAGGATGAGGATGATGTGATGGGTGAATTAGATGACCTGTTGGATGAGGCAATGGCTAAAGAAGAAGAGGAGGATAGAGAAGAGGAAATGAGAAAGAAATCACAGCTGCATATGAAAGAAATAAAGCCATTGTACAACAGCAAACGTAAATAATGCAGAAGGTTATTGTGTCTAATTTAGTT